ATCATTGATCTTAAACAATTTTTTGTTTTTCCTTTTATTGAAGAATTAGCTAAAGGAACATAAGCTAATGAAGTTCCTTGCATTAGTAAATATATTGAGTTATATTCTTCATGTAAATGGATTTAACTTATTATGCTGAAAGTGTGAAGATTTGTACATGGTCAGTGTGGTATTGTGAGTTAAACCATTTATAACATGCAAGTTACTATTTTTACTAGGTTGCTAATTCATGCTTACCTTAGAAGTGACCTAATTGTATTTTTTACTCGTCTATGCGTAGTACCAAATTCTTTAAAAAATAAGATTGACCCTGATCAACTCAGTCTTAGATGCTTTGCCAACATATTTGATGTCAGTTTTTCCTCTCCCCCCTAAGGTGGAGGAAAGAATTGATGCATTAAGGAGGAATTTTTTGTGGAATGGAGAGAAAGAATACAAAGGATTTCATTTGGTCAAATGGAAGACTGTAATTCTTTCAAAGAAACAAGGTGGGTTAGGCATTAGAAACTTGAGGAAACAGAACAAAAGCCTTATGATGAAGTGGTTGTGGAGATTTCCTAAAGAGAAGCAGGCCCTTTGGGTTAGAGTGATTCGGGCCAAGTATGAGAAGATAGATCACTGGAAAACTAAGGAAGTGACTTCTGCCTATGGTATTTGCCTATGGAGATCAATCAGAAATTTGTGGCATTGTTTCTTTCAAAGAACTAGATTCAATGTAAACAATGGAAGAAAGATTTTGTTTTGGGACGATAATTGGTTAGGAAATGGCAGCCTCAAACAGCTCTTTCCAGACATCTACTTGTTGAATCAGCAACATGAGGCCACTGTGCAAGAAGTTTGGTCCATCCATGGATGGAACTTAACATACAGAAGGATGATACAAGACTGGGAGGTGGATAGACTAGCTGAATTTTATGGCACCCTGGACCATTTTGGAGGATTGAAAGAGGGAGAAGACACTCTTAGGTGGATTCATCACAGCAAAGGTATCTTCACAGTTAGCTCTGCCTACAAGAACCTGAATCAAATAGGGACTCAACTCAGATTTTTGCCTTGGAAGCTTATCTGGAAAGTCAAAATTCCATATAAGGTGGCAGTCTTTACTTGGTTGGTAGTTAAAGAGGCGGTACTAACACAGGAGAATCTAATGAAGAGGGGAATACATATGTGTCCTAGATGTTTTTTTTTTGTGAGCTACAGGCAGAGACAATCAACCATCTGTTTCTTCATTGCAAGGTGGTTAGACAATTGTGGCACTTATTTACTAGCTTCAGGGGCACAAACTGGACCATGCCACAAAGGGCAAGTCAAGCTATAGAAAGCTGGACACTGAAGGCAGTGGCAGTACAGACCAAAGCAGATGGAGAATTGTCCCAACAGTGATTTGGTGGACCATATGGAAGGAGAGAAATATGAGATGCTTTGAGAGTATTAGTAGTCCTTTACACAGGATTAAAATGAATTGCATAATCACTTTTTGCTATTGGTGCAGTTCGGAGTATGTAGATGATCCTATAGTTGTTATAGATATCCTAGGTTCTTTGTAAGATGAAGTAGGATCTAGTTTAGTTTTGTTTTGAGTACACGCAACTGTATGTAGCTCCATGATGTAAATTTGGGATCCCAGCCTAATGCTGAAGATTAATACACAAAACTGTTACCTTTGTCAAAAAATAAAAAATAAGATGAATTAACTGAGATATTTTGTGCAATAAACAAAACATTACTCAATCATATTCTCTTTCAGCTTTCATAATCTTATGTTACATACGTTTGTAGTGAAAATGAAGTTGGAGCTTTATCAGAAGCTTACGATCTCTGTATTGGAGGCGAGTGCATCGAGATGTTGCAGCAGACATCTGCTGTCCCCAAAGTTGTTCCTTATGTAAAGGTTGGAAATATGTGATAAAATCTGCTTTCTCTCCCTCTCTCTCTCTCTTTCTCACACACACACACACTCACTCTTTCACTCATATCCTGACAAATGTATCATTTTACCCAGGTATTTGCAAGGGTTGCCCCTGAGCAAAAAGAACTTATATTAACCACTTTTAAGTCCGTGGGAAGAATGACATTGATGTGTGGTGATGGGACTAATGATGTTGGAGCTCTAAAGCAGGTATTATGTTGTTTTATTTCAACAAATTATTTGTCAAATGGGTGCAGAACTTGCTTCAATTTTCTGAGGCCTTTTGATTGGAAGCAACCTAAGCACCTTGATCCATTGCAGGGAAATAGTCCCATCATGTGGTCCTTTGTTGCATGGGCTTTGTCTGGCATGGGTAATTATCCTTTAGGTGTACATCCAATCCTTTCAGCAAGTGTTCGTGTATTTTGAAAAATCTATATGGAGTACCCATACCAAGTGTCACTTATATGACACGAGTACATCTGGAAAAATGACTAGTCCTCTGCCCATGTAGTAGTAGGAATGATCTGGCAGAGATGAGCTGCCTCGTTTACATAACTAATCATTAGTTGATCAGGTGTTGTTTGTCAGTATATTGCCGTTAGTTTCCTTGTACTGATGTGGCAATTTGTGTGAGCAAGTACTATCTATGCTCTGAGCTCTCCTTCCTATCCACCCCTCTTTCCCCTCACTCACTGTCCCTTGCATGTTATTTGAAGATGTTCAAGTAGATATCTTCACTGTACCAACTTAAGCGGGTTCATTTTTTGTGCGTATTCTGAGATGGAGATGCAGTTTATTGCACTTTTTTGATGCATTGTTTGGCCTGCTTTATAGTTTTACTTTTACTGCATAGTATGCTTCTTCCGTGTTCGTAATATTCTTTTTGGGTGACAACCCTTTTTCCGATAAGTGAGACTAGTGGGATTTGCTTCTTTCAGGCACACGTGGGAGTAGCTCTACTTAATGCAATACCTCCCCCTAAAGGGCAAAAGTCTTCTGATGGATCATCTAAAAATGATACTGCAAAACCTGCCAAGTTGAAGAAACTTAAATCTGCTACAGAAAATGGAGAAGGCGCTTCAAAAAGTAAAGCTACCAGCAGCAGCCAATCTGGTAATCGCCATCTTACACCTGCAGAGATGCAGCGGCAGAAGCTAAAGAAACTCATGAATGAGCTTAATGAGGGAGGAGGTGATGGTCAGGCACCAATTGTCAAACTTGGGGACGCATCAATGGCATCACCATTCACTGCAAAACATGCTTCTGTCTGCCCTACCACTGATATCATCCGTCAAGGTCGTAGTACTCTAGTAACCACCCTGCAGATGTTTAAGATACTTGGACTTAACTGCCTTGCTACTGCCTATGTCCTGAGTGTAATGTACTTAGATGGTGTCAAGTTAGGTGATATTCAAGCTACAATCAGTGGGGTCTTCACTGCGGCCTTCTTTCTGTTTATCTCACATGCTCGGCCCCTTCCAACACTTTCAGCTGAGCGACCCCATCCTAACATTTTCTGTGCCTATGTCTTCCTCTCTCTCCTTGGACAATTTGCTATCCACCTACTTTTCTTAATTTCCTCTGTTAATGAAGCTACCAAGTACATGCCGGACGAATGCATTGAGCCAGACTCAGCGTTTCATCCAAACCTTGTTAATACGGTTTCATACATGGTTGGGTTGATGCTACAGGTAGCAACCTTTGCTGTGAACTACATGGGCCACCCTTTCAACCAGAGCATACCTGAAAACAAACCATTCTTATACGCACTTTTGGCTGCAGTGGGTTTCTTCACAGTTATCACCTCTGATTTGTTTAGGGACTTAAATGACTGGTTGAAGTTAGTTCCTATGCCAAAAGGGTTGAGAGATAAGCTGCTGATTTGGGCATTCATGACATTTTTGGTCTGCTATGCCTGGGAAAGGTTGTTAAGGTGGGCTTTCCCTGGTAAGATGCCTGACTGGAAGCAGAGGCAACGTCGTGTAGCAGCAAGTCTAGAAAAGAAGCACAACTAGTTCATAGTTGTATCAGTTTTGAATGGCAGAGATTTGGATCCGTCAGGTATTCAGAGAGCTTCATTTTATTGGCAATATATTTATCAATGCCTGCTGGACGGGTACTGGAGGTATCGCAACTAAAAGTTAACTGGATTTCATCTTCTCTGTATACCATAATATACCACAGCAGCTTGCTCATTTTTGTCTTATAATATACAAGAACTAGAGAGAAGTGTTGCTTTATTCATGGCTGATTTGAGCTGAAGGAAACAGCTGAAATTTTTCTTCTTCTACTGTTTTAGTGTTTTAGAGCACATTCTGTCAAAGATCATAATCGATGATTATTATCGGGTGAATGATTCACTCTCCTCATGAAACCTTGCTTGGCTGCTTTCGAATTTGTTGGATGGACAGAGTATATAACTCTTTTAACAATGTTCTAAATCGCTGTTTCAGGAAAATGTTTTCAAGTATAATAGTTGTTCATATGAAAATGTGATAAACATGCCTACTTTCCCAATTATCTGATGATTCGATTTCAAAGTAATTTCTATTACAATCTCTCACTGCATTGCTGCACATATGAACAATTAAACAACCATATTGTTCTTTTTTTTTTGCTTCTTTGGAGGATTTGTAATTTTGTGGCCTAAAGCCACTGCAGGGTTGAGCCGCCGGACGTATCTTGGGGTTGAGTCGGGGGACATAATTTCGTTCAAGATTTCACTAAATTCTTGTCTCTTTCCATCCCTTTGAAGAATTCAATTCTCTTGTTGACAGCTTCAATCTTGGAATTCAATTTCGACAATACATCATCTGCAACAACATTGTTGCTCTGTTTTTCCAGAGAATATTTTTTTCTATACTGATCAAGAATTGGGTTCAGATCAGTGGAGTTTCCAACGGAACCATCCTTGATGTCGCAAAGAACTGAAAGCTCCATTGTCTTCTTCATCACAGAAAAACACTTCTTTTTGCCTTCATTCTAGATTATTTCTAGTGATTGATCGTATGATCAGAAAAGCTTTATATTGATCTTACTAAAACTCCTCAACTATGACAGATTATTTGATTGATTTTATACCAAGCTATTAAAGCAGTGTCTTTAGTCCCCAAAATATAGTATATATAATCCTTACTCCAACTTTAATGGATCCACTTTGTTTGAACTCCCAATCAAGTATATAGTCATAATTTCCAACTGTTGCTACCATTCTGATCACCAAATTAACTTCTTTCTGTCCCTTGGTGTTCTACAAAATCCATAGAGTTAATTATGTTAATAGAGTGATCACAACTTAGTAGAGAAATTTTCAGTTTAGAAGATTATTAATGTTCCACGTACTCCGTTTTCTGTATGCCTCCATGCAGCATCGCCAGCATATCGTTCAAAAATGCAAATAGCTTGAGGGACTTGTACTACTTGACCTTCTGAATCAGCCATGTAACCATCCATATACACCGCGTTGTTTGGACAGTCCAATGACTGGACAAGGGTACTAGCCGATCTCCCAAAACCATATTCACCAACATCCAAAAATGTCCTGTAGTACCATTCAAACGAAGGATCCATGTAAGGCACGAATATCTCAGAGGCATGACCTCTATAGAGAACACGTCGATATTCATTTCTCACAGCATCAAATATAGAAGCTGTAGATATGATCATCCCTGCTCTAGTATTGAATCCAACATGAAGTTTCCAATTAGCCCAACTGACTTCATGACCTTGGATGTTTATCCTGGAGGATCCTGTTTCATTGCAAGTAACTGATCCCTGGCTCGACGAATTGAAATCAGCATCTTTTGCTTCAGGCAATGGGGATCTGAATCTATCCAAATACTTAATAATCTTCATTGATTCAATATCTACTAGTATAGTTATTCCTTCAATAGGCTTAGCCCAAAAGTTAGTAGTCCCTCCGCGATACAAACATGGAACACTAAGAACTCTTCTAGTCTTTGCCTGACCAAACCATCCAACAGATAATGGTATGCATCTGACTTCAGATATATTCAAGCGCCTTCGTGACATCGAATCTTGAAATTCAGGACTACTCAATGGCAGGCTGGTGGCCTGTGTAAGTTCATTGAGAGTAAAAGAAGGAAAGCCATGACCTGAGTACAACTTTTGTGATATGATAGAGTTAGTAGCCAAGTCTAGTGTGAGTTCATATGACTCACCATTAGCGCGAACTACTACCTTGGATCGACGATAAGGAAAAGAGGTATTGTTTGATTTATGAAAGGAAAGCCAATGAAGGACATCATTCTTTTCTGGTTCATCAAGGTCTACATCATGAAATGTTACATTGGAAAGCTCCATTGTCTTCTTCATCACAGAAAAACACTTCTTTTTGCCTTCATTCTAGATTATTTCTAGTGATTGATCGTATGATCAGAAAAGCTTTATATTGATCTTACTAAAACTCCTCAACTATGACAGATTATTTGATTGATTTTATACCAAGCTATTAAAGCAGTGTCTTTAGTCCCCAAAATATAGTATATATAATCCCGGTTTGAAAAGAGTATAGTATATGCCGACCTTTATCTTCCGATAATCCCCGAGTACTCAATAAAAAACAATAAGGAAGTACAACAAATAACAACAGTCCATAACAAATAATAACATAATAGAAACTACAACAAAATAGGAACAGGATAAGAAACTAATACATGCGATAATTGCTAGTAATGAAAAAGAAAAATATATTTATATGTAGGATAAAGCTTCCCAATTAACTCATGCTCTTTCTATGCGTACTGATAATAGGATTAAGATAATAAAATCAATGACAAGAAAAGTTAGAGATTATAAATATAATTAGTGTGGTACAAATATAATCATAATTAATTAGGACGAAGTGAGGAGAGTACAACATCTTGAAGTGAACTATCTCTTTGCATAGCAGCTTTAAACTCATCAAAAGTGACTTTACCATCACTATTTGCATCCATTAAATCAAACATCTCATCAAGCTTTCCAGGTTCTGTTATATCCATTGGAAGACAATCTTCAGGAAGTGCCTACAAAATTTTCATCAAAAAATACAAAATAATTAACTCTATCGAGGGTTCAGAGTACCAGGGTCAAACTATCTAAATTTGAATGTAGATTTTTCAAGTTCCTTTTAAATAAAATGTACATTTTTGAGGATCAAGTGAAAATTCTAAAATAGGTTAGCAAGAAAAAATTGTTTGACTTGCTAAAAATAACAAGCGAATAGATAGAATTATTACTCTCAACATGGATGCAACTTCTTCCTTGCTAATGCAGCCTGATCGATCAGTATCATACATCTGATTACAAAAAAATTAAAGTATCAAAATTAACATCTAAATTGAAATAAATTCTCATTGAGGTGCAAATTACAATTGTATCATATATTGGTACCTCATAACATTTAAATTTCTCAAGAAAGTATTGAAACCACTCTTGAACTTGTGGCAAATCATTAGTTTCGTTCTTAAACTGTTGACGCTCTTAAAAATACCCCTCTATTTGACTAACTGAACTTATATACACCCTCGATCTGCCACATGACATAGAAGTGACCTCAAACTCTTATAGGAGCATGAGACTCTTAATAAGAAGCCTAGAGAAGAGTTGAGAACACCCCTAAACTTGACTAGAATTTAGGAGTGTATCTCACTCAAGTTGCAAGATCACAAGTGTATTTAAGATTGTCAATAGTTCAGGAACGAAACTAATAATTTGCATTAAGTTTAGAAGTGTTTTCAATACTTTTCTCAAATTTCTCTAATTACAAAGCGTACCTACCTAACTTTATATATCTAAACATTTTGATTAATTCATAATTGTATTTGGTTAAGCACGTTTTTTATTGATTAACATGAGATACACGTGCAATAGTACCTGAAAACAAAGACGAAGTGCATCATCCCCTTGTGAATACTTGAGACTAGAGAAGCCACCTATTATCTCTCTCATATCTACCGTTCCATCACGATTGTTATCAAATAGATCAAATATCCTCTCTGCTAATCCCACTAATGATGTCATTTCCATTGCTTTTAACACCTCTTCAAACTCCAACAATGTTGCATTTTCTCCATTTTTGCATCTGTATATATATATATATATATATATATATATATACAATTACAAAAAATATTGAGTAGTATGCCCACAATATAACAAATTTAATCGATAACGTGTAGTACATAATAAACTTACATTTTCTTGAAAATGTGACTCAAGTTTTCTAATTCTTCAGGCTTGAGATCATATGAGGAACCAACTAATTTCTTCAATTTTTTACTTCTCAAAGAAAAACTACTGCTGAGAACACTAGCCATGGCTGCTGCACGGAACTTGCGCCGCGCGTTGAAGCTTTGAAGACGGGAAACAATTTCAGCGTCCATTTCTTCTTCCTTTGCTAGCTCTCCCCTCACCCATGCATCTTCAACTATCTACATTATATATATGTAGTTAAGTTAATTATACGAGTCATGAGAAGAGCTAGGGTTTAATCGAAAAATTATACTGTATATATATATATATATAGACCTGTTGAGCAGTAGGCCTCATGTTGGGATCAACTTTTAAAAGATTGGAAATTAGTTGTTTTGCTGATGAAGATATATTCTTCCATGTTTTCTCATCAAAGCTGAATTGTCCCTGCATTAATTTGTAAAATTTATTAATTAAAAAGAAAAAGAGAGAATATAATGAAATAATTATTAGAGGATATTAAATTAATTTTATGTGAAATAAAAGGAAGGGTGACTTACATTTAATATCATTTGTTGCTTTTGACGATTGGACGGTGCGAAGAAAGGTGGGTACCTGAGGTTATATCAGACAAACATTATATTTATATTATATTAATAAAACATTAATATTATGTGTATTAATATTTATATTACATATTCGTATTTTTTAAATTTACTGATGGAATTACACTAAATATTTTGTTATTATTGTATCAATTATTTCCCCTTAAAACTTTAAAGTTGGCTGCTTCTAATATTGTCCTTATTGGGGAAGGTATGAGTTAGGTTCCGTGATAATTATTTAATGAGAAAATTTTAATAAATAATATAATGTATACAACATGTTAAGCAATATAATAAAACTATGTACAATCCAATAATTGAGGTGGTTACTTAACCAAGGATGTCTATTCAAATTAATCTTTTTTCTTTGGTGATGCGGGGGAATTTGTTGCTGCTATTCTTTGGGTGCTTAACCGACTCCTTATAATATTATATCACTCTAAGCTACGTACAAGTAGGCCTTTTTTAAGATATGAAATTTATAGTTTAAATATTTAAAATAAGACATATTATCTGTTATAACAGTTTAAAATGATATGTAGAAATAATAAAGCGCACGTACTAACCCGGAAAGAAGAATGTAAAGAATAACACCAAGTGACCAAATATCAGTCTTAGTAGTGATTTTATCCCTTGAAAGTGCTTCTGGTGAAACATAATCAATTGAACCAAATAAACCAACCACTGGATTAGCAAAATCCTCAAAAGAGCTAAGACCAAAGTCCATAATCTTTAATGGTGAATTCTCATCTTTGTTTAAAAATAAACAGTTTTCTGGTTTCAAGTCCCTATGAACTATATTTGCCCCATGTAACGCCTCAAGTCCCTTAGCTATTTGTCTCACCACTGCAGCAGCCCCGGCCTCGTTATACCTGTTGAGCAAAATTTGAATAATCACGAGTTATATCCATCTTAATTCTTGTTTATTAATATTATTAGACTTTGTATTATATTGTCTACGTTTCAATTTACAAGCTTAGGTGTATGCGGTATCGTTGAGTTCCCACATCGACATTTAAGATATGAGAAAGTCAATCCTAATCACTTCTTGAACTAGACTCGATATTTATTTTCATTAATTTGTCAATTACGAATAAGGGATAAAACAAATTTAATTCCAATGTTTCTATGAAACAAACATATGCACATTACTCCATATGTTTTATTTTTTATAATAGACATATTAAGGCCAAAATTATCATTGAACTATATGAAAATAAGATGAGATATTTTTGCTCTTTATTAATAGGGGAATTTTCGCATATAGCTAGCCACTCAAAAATAACTTAATTATGCTCCATAGTTATAATTTGTTAATTATAATCCTTAGTTACATGTTAGAAGGAGGAGAGAGGCGAGCGCGAGAGGGCCAGAAGCTGGTTTAGGGAGTCACAGGGCCTTACTTATTCAGGGGGGACTTGATTCTGAAATGGAATGATTGATAGAATCCATATTTCATAGGAAAATGGTCAAGATCATAAAATCCTTTCACACCCGCACATGTGACTGAATATATAAGGAACCTAACACACCCTGGAAAAATCCATCATGTATCCCTGACTTGCTATGTAACTGATATACATATGTATTTGTATATCTAACGAGCGAGATTGAAAGAGGGAGGAGACATGACTCCTATGTATAACTATGAAAAGCTCATATATATATTAAACTCTATGTTCAGTCAAATTGATAAAGAATACCTTGCTTGTCCAACAATCCGATCAAATAGCTCGCCACCAGAACAAAGTTCCAATATAAGATGAACACCAAAAGAATCGTCACAAACATCGTACAAATGAATAACATTAGGATGAGGAGAAACATCTTCAACGATCTTCCTCATCACTAACAATTCATTTGTTAATAAAGTCTCACATATCAAAGCTGGTACTACTCTTGACGACGACTTATTATTATTATTATTTTCTTTCTTCTCCGGCGGTACTGGCCCGTACCGCCGGAGAGTCTTGATTGCAACAACTTCATTTGTTCTTCTATTTTTTCCTCTCCTTACTACTGAAAATCCTCCTCGTCCTAAAATATCTCTCACTTCGTATTCATCACTTAAACTTGTTCCTATTACAATATCCTTTTCTCCCATTTTTTCAAGAACAACAAACAGAGAGAAAATGTATCTAATTGATTGATCACAAAACACGTAATTACATCATTAATTATATAATTGAGGGATTTTTAATTAGGGGATTAAATTAGTTTATTAATTTTGTTTGTTGGCCGGGCGAGTGCGTATTAATTATTATATTGTGGGTCATGAAATGTTATAAGCAAATGGCAACAAAGGAGAGAGGCTAACGAGAAGAGACACAATTGACTAAGTCAAAACTAATACTTATTCTTCTATTTTAATTTATGTGACGTTGTTTGACTTGATACAAAGTTTAAGAATTGGTTTGATATTTTTATGGCTAATCGTTTCGGTAAAAGAATAATTTTGAAAGTTACTCTCTTTGTCTAACAACACTTGTCTACTATTGACTTTGCACACTTCTTAAGAAAACT